CTGAAAACTCAGTCTGTAAACCTGGAGACCATATGCTTCCGTACATCTCTTACCTTCAGAAATGCGTAGAAAATTTGTCAAATCTTCACAGCCTCGGTGAAACAGAGGACTGGTCTATTCCTTTGTAGCGGATAATCATGATAAACCAACTCGAAGTGGCCATTCAATTCACGATTTCGTTCTCTCTTTGCGGTGAGTGCAGCGCGGGTTCACAATGAGTCTAGTCTACGCGGTGCATGTTTCTATTGAGAATGACACGTGTACATGAATGGAGGTGGCGTTCAGGCACACGACGTCAGAGACGAGCAGAATGATGCAAGAACGAGTAACGTGTAGTTCATGCTAAATTAATGAGGTCGTTCAACGCTCCTTAATTAAATATTATGGTACACTCCCATTAAAAAAAAGAAACAACGCTGAATCGTGTAAAAAAAGGTTGCGAACTGTTAAACACCTCTCTATCTTGTGTGGAATAAAAGAAAAGGGAGGCTATAACAGAGTCGTGCTAGTTTTGACACGATATGTACGTACAAAAGACTTGTTTTAATGAGGTAGCTGCTGTTATGTGTTTGCTTAATGACGGCATCCCACGCTGTTAAGCAAAGACTTCCGATGTGAAAGCTACTGTATGTAATCAGCTCGGATGTGATTCAAAATAGCCTGCGCCAATTTAAGATTTCCTCCCCGAGGAGCTTGAATAAGGCTTTGCTAAAAGTCTTTATACTTGAATTTTTTACATGAACAGAATTTCTGGCGAATGAATTGTAAAGGGGTAAGACTTTTCCTGTTTTGGACATCTAGCTCCGGGCATACAGATTACGGTATTCATATGTATACAAAATGAAACACGATAGTGTATTCCTTTTGGGAGTGTTTGCTTGAGACATGCCTAGGCGAAACTGATGAAACGCCTGGCTTTAATTAAAACCAATTTGTCAAACAGCGGGGATGACAGAATTAAAATTCCGAATCACACCTGGGTACAGTATGGACTGACTTTTAAACCTATGTTATTCTATTTCAAAAGAACGGAAAAGGAATTTAGGGTAAAAATAACTTAAAGTTTAACAGAATGAAAGACTTTGACAAGCAGTCGCTCTCCGGCGACACGTAGGTAATATCTCATTTATATAAGTGAGTTTAACATCACTATGATTCGTGCGTCTCCAGTGTCAGTGGGAGGGGAGGAATTTCCACTCAGTGGAGAAGAGAATGTTAATAGGCAGACCCTTTAACAGCAAGCGCTAACCATGGAACCCGAAAAAAGGGGAATAGCGTATCATTGATTTCCGGGTTTGCTAATCGTTGTCTGGGAGCTACATCCGATGCGTCAATTTTAGATTGAGGAAAGCGATTTGGGTGTGGAGATGAAAGGAAACTGAGCCGGCCCGGGGAGGACATGGGTGGATAAAGACACGAACTGAGCCATGCAGGCCTGGACAATGACGCAAGGAGGGAGTTGAACGGGGTCGTCTTGGAGGGAATATACATGTAGAAAAAAAAATCGGTTTTCTCTACAATAATGTCATGTGTATTATAAGTGGCATCAGGCCAGACAAACAAAAATCATGATAATTTAGTCTGTTATTTCTGCTCCGTGGACATTGTACCGTTTAAACACCTGGCACAGGGAAACAAAAATAACAGGTTGCGTGTAAACACTATAGACCTAGACATCGCCATACATGTTGTGGCATGGAGTGCTGAGAACACACAGCGTGTAGACACAACACGAGTGCACTTTAAAGCTTGTACAATGGGCTCTCTGAAGGGTTTGCTCGGCCCCATAAGATTAGTGGGTAGTAGAAAAATAGTCTAGTTGCAGAAGGACAAGTATTCACTCGGTATATATTTACAAAGAATTGAAGCGAAATGGGCCGAGCGTACATCTCTTAATTGTCATAGAACAGCGAGTTCAGGTGTTCAGTCGCTCAAAATAATGTCAGAATAGCGGCAGTACTTTCGCTGAGACATACTCAAAATCAATTTAGAGGGAACGTTGAAATAACTTGTACCGTGTGGCAAAGTTATTTTGTCTTCGCCGTAATGAAGAAACACCATAATTGCACCCACTGTGCCATAGGTCAAAGAAAAGCGCATTCTCTTTGCAATATAACCGATTTCAAATACAGGATTTTACCTTTTTTCTTTCAACTCAAAAGAATTATCAGAATGCCTAAAATTAATGAATGGAGCTGAGCTATAAAACTCTAGCAAATCGTACTTTTGAAATGCCATGAACCTTGATTAACAAAGCTTCAGTGGACCATCTCCCACGCTAGCCGTAAGGTTCTATTTATGCACCAGTTTCTGAAAGCCCTGTACATTCGGCAAAGCCAAAGTCAACTTACATTTGGCCTCTATGAACTGCATGCATGTCTACGTTATCGGAGTATCGGAGCATCCACATGTCCATGTTTGTTCTTCATTGATGCATTAATACAGAAGCCATGCTCGATTGAAAAAAAAGATACCCCTTTTCAATTGCAGACGCTTTTGTCTTGGTTGTTGATGTTACTGGGGTCAACGTCCAAGGCTGTCAACAGTTTGGAAATAAATTGACGAACATAGTTTGGTGGTCGTGATCTGTTACGTTCGCGGCTGTAGGTTATATCATTTTCTTTTAAATGAAATCGCAAAAATGTGTGTGATTCATACGTGGGTGATTACATCGAAATGTATACTCTACGTGCGCTGATATTTTCAAGTTTGTTAAAATGATAGAGCCACTGCCACTTTAATGTCAGACTGTACAAAGTCATAATCTTTTCTGTCCACTACAAATTGCTTTTGTGCACTGAACAATCTAACGAAAAACATTTGTAATAAAAATACACAGTTAAATTGGTTTTTCCGGCGTTGTGTTGACAGTAACTGTGGGAAACCTTTACATGTATAGCAGGCACAATATACCAATGTTCCTGTGATTAATCGATGACTTAAATAAATAAAACTAATCTCTGTAACTGCGTGCCCAAACATGTCAACAAAAACAATGTCAGAAAACAGCGCGTTGGCTCACAGTTTTGAAGCATGCTACTTGCAGGCAACTTTAAAATTGTATATCTAACAGCAAACTTTGACTTCATACAAATTGGACCAAAGCACGGTGTACTTTGATGCTTCAGGTCACAACAGAATTGATACATGTACTTGGTTCAACTCGTGTTTTTCCCTTTTCGGTTTGCACGAGTGCCAATTTTCAAGTGCACCGATACAAGACGAAAAGACCTTCACTGGCTCCCAAAATTCCCGGTCTATAGTTCATTACCGATGCATGCCTTCACACATGATTGCAGAGTTAGATACAAGTAGGCCTAAACAAGTTGATTTTGATGACTCATGTGCAAAAAAAAAAATTATGCCCAAAATGGTCAAAAAGGGCTAAACTTTAACTTGCAAAAATGGCTGTAAACGTTGCTTCCCGGATGCAAGGATAGGGGCGTGGTCAATTGTAGGAAATAGAAGGACAACCACAGTCTCAAGACATGTTTGCTTATTTTTTTCATTTAGCAAAATGCAGAAGTATAATACAGGCATCCTTCACACTGGCTTTATTATATTTAGAAATGTGATTTCATCTCCATGGCACGTTGAAGATATGTAAAGGTATACCTTACGGGGAATATACCAGTATCTGTCCAAGGAGATTGCCCAAAAAATTGGCTGTTAAAATTTCACCCAAGTAAGGGTTAAAACTGCAACTGTACCGCAAATTAGGTTGTGTCTACCCGGGTAAAATCAATTGTAGATGGCCATTTCATGTAACCCCCCTTAACCCCATGCCCCGAAAGGCCAAAAGAGGTTGCTTGAAACAATTTCAACATTGTTTGCCCTCTCCCATAATTTGGTTCTGGATCCGCTGGGTGGTACAAAGCACATAATAATAAGTCTAACCATTTTATTAGCCTCACTGTCTCTCTGATCCTAAATTTGTTTTCGATATTACACACGTTTGTTTTTATAGAGCACGTCTGGTTTCAAATCACTACCAGCATAAGTTCTTTATCCGGCACTTCTATTGGTTTTATTACGCTGTTAGAAACTGAAATTCTGGAACGCGGTTAGAATTGAAAGCAAGAGAAAATAAAATAAAGCAAATATTAAAATATGTATCTGTACAAATGGACCGGTTAATAAGTTGGTTTTATTAGTAAGTGAAAGCATTAAACCAAAGGTATACACCTGAGGTTTATTTACATTGAAAAGAAGAATGAAACGTCTTGCCAAGATAATTAACGATGGAGCTCGCTAGGGCTGCCTTTGTTTGATAGGCATGAACAAGCTTTTGTAGTATGCCACTTCGACTATTTACACTGTGTGGCAAATTCGGAGTGTTATGTAATTGGGCAGATTTAATCACATTGATCCGCTGGTTGGCGGGCAGTACGATGAATCATTATACACGCAGTGGTTTATGTTAGAGATCAAACAGTCGGCTCATTACTGGAGTAACCTCTTTCTAAATCTAACAAATTCTGAGGTGCTGTAGATACCTGAAGAGTCAATTTGGGGTGGGATGGTGGTATCCAAGGGGTGGGGGTAGGGACAGAGCTCCCCAACTCCAGTTCCCATTCAGTTGTCTGCGATGCACGGGAAAAATTACACACCGTCTCTTTTTTTATTCGTTCTTTTGAAACGATCCAATTACAGGAGAATGAAGGTACGTTACTGTGTAAGACTGCATTCATTTGGGCTGGCCGATTTGGCTTACTTGTGCAATAGCATTAGTACTGATTTGGAAAAGAATGTAACGTCACAGCTGAGCTGCTATTTGGTGTTTTCGAATGTACGGAATGAGTACATTGCATTAAGTCCACTGAATCCGCGAAGGTCAAGAGGGGACTGTTGACAACATTTTCTTGAAGTACCTATGTACCGGTTTAATATTGTCGTTTAGTCACCTTTCCACTTAACAGAGGGTACTCGTATAATAATACCTGATGGATAATTACAGCAATTCTGACGTCCCCCTGAAATAATGAAACACGTAGGCCTACCTTAAACTGATGACGGTTGTGAAATCGACACACAGAGCACCAACTTCCCGAATGTTGCCTGTTTTTCGCTTTCAGCTCAGAAAAGATGGCCTTCTCTCATACCATAAAATATTTTCCAGTGGTTCCTCGCATGAGACAGGGTTGGACTTGTCTTTGACTGTAGAGTTGCACACGTGTCTTGAAAAAAAGCGAACGGACAAAGTCACTCCAGATCCAGATTACGCTGAAACTGCAGTACTCGAGCAGCCCGGCACACAGTGCTAGCGCGGCGTCCCCACGCTGTTGTTTGAACCGCCTGGCTTTTTGACTGAGTTCACGGCGTCTCCGGATCGTTTCTACCCGGTCGATTACTCACGCAGGCCAAAGGGGATCCGTACTTTGTTCCCCGGTCTGTTAGTAATCACATACAAGGTCGATGTTGTTCGGTTTCATTGTTTGCCGTAAATGCGTCATTTTGTAAGCAGTAAATCACCTCTTCTCACTTCTGTGTTCTGCGGTTTAGGCGTGGATAGCGTACTTCATGGTCTGGTTTTAGCCGAAACAGGGAAAATGAAAAATGTAATAGTTGGGATCGGTGGAGAGAAACGTAAACGTTTTATTCAATGGCCCCCAGCGCTTTGAATTTGTAATCGATTTCGATTCCGACAATCGGTTCTGCACAGCTGTCTGGTTGGATTCCCAGCTATAAGTACAACAAAAGAACTCCCCAAATGCAAATTAGTAATCAATGCAACTACGCGTGAGAAAAAAAATTACACCTGTCTGCAGGCGTGTTTATTAACAAACTGTTGGTTTTGTATGTAAAAATGCCCATTGTACAGAAATGGACCACACAGGGGACTGATGTAAGAGTCAAGGATGATTCGGGGGCGTCAAAAGAACTATTGTCGCCCGAATAAGCCTTTTGAAAATACATACATCATTGGTGTAAATCCACTTTTTATAAAACCGACAAGTTCGACTGTGGGAACTGCAGGCTTCCCACGTTTTTTGTGTACATTAGCTCCATTTTCTTTTACAAGTGTACTATGTTGTAGAGTTTCTTGGTTTGCTGTTCAAGTATGCGATTTTTGTATATTTTTACGATGGAAAAAATCACACTGAGCATAAAAGGACTTCATGCGAGAAGCAACATTAACAAATCGATGTTGAGAAATGATTAACATAAGTGACTTTTGAAGCACACTATACATTTTATTACATGGCGATGGGAAACAACGCGCACGTGCACTCCAGACAGCTACAGGAAATCTAAAAATAGGGATGACGGTAGTTTCGATAAATAGAGCCATCGTAGACGTCACAAGAGGGCGCTATAAAGACACTTTTTCATCAAGAGAGGTCGCGTCCGAATTGTTCGCGGCTATACGGCTGAAAATAAACATGTTCCCTATTGACGCTGTTAGCTTGCGGTAAGATCAGTCTCCCAACTTGGGTAGCATTTGGGAAAGGGCCACAAGTCCTTTTCGACGCTTACTGCATTGTCGTCACACATGGAACCTTGTATTTCTGTTTTAGTACACACCTTTTTTTTTTTTTAGACGAAAGTAGTTAATCGATGAATTAAAAAACCCATCCCCTTGGACCATTGGTTTAGGACGATAATGAGCCTGCTCGTACAATATTATATTTTAAGGAAATGAACGATTAGTGTGCTAGTGATTCCATAACATGTATTATCAGTGTCCTTCAATGCGCGTAAAACTTGACCCTTTCAATATTTATCTCAATAATGATATGTTTACATTATTCTGTACAGTGTAACTTGAATTATTCGGTGAATTTCGGTATCATTGTAAGATAAGCGTATACACTTGTGATGTATTATAGCTGTTTATGTTTGTAAAATAAGTCTCACTTGCGAATCCCGGCCGCAATGACGATTTGTTTTAATAAACTAATAGTGCTGAATTAAATTATTTTATTGACTTAGATTGGTTTGAATGACTTGTAAGGAAACAAAGCAATATGCAAGTCCAGTTAAATCGAAAAAAGCAGAGTTTTGTTGAAACACAATGGATACACAAGTAATCATTTATTCTAATAACTGCACTACTGTATACTTTGGACGGAACGATAAGGTTAAATAACACTCGGCAAGAAAATGGCGGCAACTCTGTCCATCTACTCAGACTAAATGAACTGTTACATGTTTTCTTTCCATAGCTCATCCTAATGCAACCCTTGTTTTTTTAATCCCATTTCAAAACTCACCCTTATTTTACGACTGCTATGACCCTGAAAGTGTACAGAGGAAACGTGTAGAAACGTGATGACATGTTCAAATTCCCTCTGAAATAATATCCATTTAATTATTCCTTTTAATTTCCTTGGAAGTACTACAGTCCTTGGATGTAATTCTGTATTCAAAGTCTGGCTTTTCACTGAAATTCAATTTTGGCTGGAATGTATGCTCAACTCACCCTCTCCAGTTTATGAAAAATACTTTAGTTTCTATTTAAGTACACTCCACGGTTTTTCATTATTATCGTCATTCAATGTGTTATATCGTGTTTCAAAATGTCGGCCAGTTAAATAGCAGTATTATAAAAAGAAATCTTTAATTTATGACTAGACTAAAATAGAACACTTCTATGAAATTTACGGATTTAGGACAGTTCAACTGCTAATGGGACAAGCTGTATTTCAAGGCAATTTGGGCAGTTTATGAGACTGATGTCTGTGCCTTAGACGAGATTCTTTCAATTCCTTGAGGACCTCGACGTTTATTCGCAACGGGGGAAGTGAAACGCCCGTCGTCGCCGAGTCGGTGGCCCGTCTCGACTGCCGTCGTCTTCTGCCGGTCGCCCGGGCGGCGGGAGTGGCGTGGTCGCGGGCTTTCTCCCGGCTCCTCTCAGGTGCCTCCATGACGCCCGGAAGGATGGAGCCCATCCTGGTAACCTGCAGTCTGGTCACCGCCTCCTGCTGCTTGATACTGCCCAGGGAGTCATCGGAGTCCGCCGTCCGACGGCCCTGGATGTCCTCCCGCGTCTTGACCTTCAGCTCGGCCACCCGCTTGACGGCGTGCCGCTCCCTCTGGAGGGCGCTGTTGCTGATCTCCCGGTCGCGGTTGGCGGTCCGGACGAGTTTCTGCTGCATGAGGGCCAGATACCTCTGCTTATTGCTCCTCGTGACTCTCAACGGTGGCAATTCTCGAACGGGCACTTCCACCGGGACGACGTTGTTTTGTATTTTAGATGCGTCCTTGAGTTCGGCAGGCGTGCCCGGTTTCGGAACTGGCGTTCTACGACTGGCCTCTCTCGGTATCGTTTTCGGTTCAAAGTCTGTCGACAGTGTGATGGGAAAATGACCTTCTTCATGGTCATGCAGCAAATCTGAATTCTTTGGCCTGGAAATGATGGCTTTGCTCATTTTAGCGTGCATTTCGTCCAGGTGGTGATCTATGTTGTTTATCGGCATGGTTTTAGTCTGTTCAACTGGTTGGCTGGTAGTGTCATTCACTAGAATCTTTTGATCTGTTGAAGTTTCTGGTTTGATCGGAGTACAAGTTTCAGCGACGGAGGGCGGCTGCGATGAGACGAGACGGCTGGGACTCGCGTCGAGTCTCGACTCAATGCTCCGCAGCTCGTCCTGCACATGGGCTGCCAGGAGCTGCGAGTTGGGAGCCCGCAGCCGCTCGCACAGCACCTCGAGTTCCTGCTCCTTCCTCCGGATGCGTTCTTGCTCAAGGGCGAACACGGGGGAGTTGGTGCCGTTCTTCAGCCGGCGCTCGAAGTCGCCCACGTTGGCCCGTATCTTGCGCTTGCTGCTGGCGATGTTGATCAGCGTGACGCGCATCTGGTCCTTCCGGCGCAGGATCCGACCAACGTTGGCGCGCTCACTGGACGCGATCTGCCGCTGGAGACGCGCCAGTCGGGTGTCCTCGACGTGGTTGACGAGTTGCAGGCGTTCACGTAGGCGCGTTTCGTGAGCGTCGAGGAGGTAGGACTTCTCGCCTGGGGTCTGAAACGCTCGGGGTTTGCGGTTGATGGCCTTCACCATAGCGCCCCCAATGTTGGTTGGCTCGACGCCGTCCTGGATCATGGCGCGCTGGTGGCAGATTTCAAACTTGGTGGCCTCTCTGTGTTACCATTTTCTGGAATAAAGACGAGAATAGACAGACTGATTCCACTTGTAATAGGCCTACTAACAGCTTAGTATGATCGTCATGTTGCTGATCTCTCCAATATAATTCGCCCCGAACTGGACCAAGAGTCCTAGCAATTTTCCAAGCAACATGGGCTCCTTTACTCGGACCATTTGCGACCTGCACTTCGCTGGTTCACAAACGACTATGAAATGCACGCGTTACAGTCGCACGCTACCAGCAAAATGAACACTCCCGACCAGCATGGCTCTTTTTGACCGATGAGTGGTTGCTTCTGCACAAGGCGGATACTCAAGCAAATGCGCGTTTTGATGAGTTCCGCGACCGTGTGATAACAATTTTATTGTCGTTAGTGGCACTCCATTGACCGACACATCGTCACTTACTGACCTACGGGCGCTCTATGTCCTAGGCTCCGCTCCACGCGACACAAATGTTTATTTCATCGCATTTCGACACGTCAAGGTTTCCAGATGATTAGATAAAGAATGTCTCTCTCAACTTAAAACAGTCCAAGACAAAACCGCAGGAAGCCGACGTCATCTCAACACAGAGAGAACTTGTTTTTGTTTGAGAAAAATTATACAGTATAATTTTACGACCTTACCGGGGTAAATTGGACAAGGCGTTAGAAATCCCAGACGGTGAGTATAACTTTTCACCAGGTGAAACCCTGATAATGCGTATGAAAGCTACCCCCAGCAGACCTGCAATTATGTGGTAATTAAACCATAAGATACCTTAGAACTTACCAAACTAATATCAATGGCAACTGAATTCCCTGCTAGCTTCGTCAAAATGACAAATTACATGAATAGACAATTTTGAACTAACACCACGACATAAGTTTTTTTCCGCGATCAAATTTATGTTGAATAAGATCTGAAACTGAATGAGGTAAACACAATGCTCAGTGTTCAACAGACCTCTGCTCTTTTGTATGCATGTACTGCATATCCCTTTTTCTTTTGCCTATACCGAAGTCATGCAGCAGGACAAAAGTTTTGGTTGGTTAGAACGAAAATCACTTTGTTGGTCCAGAGGGCGCTTGAAAAAACAGAAATCGCTTGAAGGGAGAGTTTCCGAAAATTCGACATTATCGGCGGAGTGAGCCTACTTTCAGATTGTATTGTCCACAGATCTAATCAGTAGCCATCGGTTGAAGAGAACTTTAACTCTTTGGAGACAAAGCGTATAAGTTACGAAACTCGATGGTGAAAATTAATTTCCACGCTTGCACTGGGTTGAGATTTTTATCCACAGCTAAGCTAAGCATGCGCACAATATGCCGTGGAGACAATTCCAGCATGGAAGATCACGACAGTGGACAGGTAAGCCCAGCCCGGAGTAGTCTCAGCACCCCCATTTCTACGTGGTCGCCTGTTCTTCGAAGCTCATTTAACCCCAGGGGGCAGAGGGTCGACCACCTCAAGAATGTTAACAATTTCCTAGCGATCACCATAGACCTTGAAGGTCAGAGGTTACACCACTTGCGATAAGTCACCGTAGACGTATGCGGATAGCCTATTGTGTGGAGTGCGGCGTGAACAAAACTTGAAACTAAGTTATATCCATGATCATTTTGTCTAATAGTTTTATCCCTGACAAATTCGATAATTTCAAAACCAGAACCCAAATCTGGCTTGGAGTTTCCTGTTGCCATGACAACACTGTACTTAATTTCTAAGTTCAATAAAATTCAAATTCAAATACGATACTTCTACAGTGGAGGATTGATAATCAGCCACAAATTTTACACGCTACGTTCAAAAGTGCAGAGAAAAAACAATGCGATCAGTTATTTCCTTCTTGAAGAAAGTCATTTGATATGCCCTGTTACCGGCAATATGGCCAAGGTAATAACCTTGGGTGATAATCTTTAGTTTTTTAAGTCGGCATACACTGGTCCTTATTTTTGAAAACACGCACCGGCATACACGCCTCCTGGAGCTTGAGGGTTGAATTTCCAAGATTCATTATTGCTCCATGTGTAACGACGTATCCTAACTATCTGTAAATAATTACTAAATATACAGACAGAAATATACGTGAAGACATCCGGCAAACCAGACTGTGTTCAAAAATGTTGAGACCAAATCTGTGGGGCTGGTAAGAATGTTAACAACTGTACCACTGGCACTTGAGCTGCGACGTTTGAAGAGTGTAGTCACCCCAGGCTGGTTGTATCGTCACACTAAAATTAGGGATTAGTTGATTCCCGGAGTTCTAGGTAATAATTATAGAGGAGGTTGGACCTCCGTCAGCCTTCCATTAGCGTAACGCCTCGGTTCTTCCAATTCCAATGTTTGCTAAAGCAAAAGAGAAGGGACGAAGGATTTGCCTTTCGGGCAACTGGCACGCCCAATCGTTGCTTCTATTCTACAAACGAAGTCCCACTTACCGTTCGAATTTGTAGGCATAGCATTACGTATCGTCAAGATAGTCATGTTGTGCCGTTTTCTGTTCGGTGAGATTATGAAAATGAATTACGGGCAGCCAAGCCCTCGAGTGACAAATTCGCGTATGATGGGCAGAAGAACGCTGTCTCGACAGGCAAATTCCAACAAGGAGTACAATAATCCGTTTTCCTCGCGTACCACACACGGAGCTTCCAAGATGTCGGAGTGCTTTTTACATGTGTGTGTTTCCGAATACGCACTCTGAAGATCCTATGGCAAGCCAAAGGGTCAAATAACGACCCCGTCAGCAAAAAACGAGCACCTGAGACTTCACAGCCGCATGTCCACGCATCTTTCCCTTTTTAGTGTGGAACCCCTGCCGGGGATACACCATAATTATGAAAAAAGAGTACATTGTAGTTGTAAATCAGTCGGGTCAGCGTTCTCTTTCATTTGTAATCTCCGTCGCTTTCTGGAGAAATTTACAAATAAAGTCGCTGTGCAGAATCTTCTAACGTTATGAGGCAGTTTGCCCCTCCCCTCCCTTTTTTTTTTGGGGGGGGAGGGTATTTAACCATTGCCGGTGTCAATCATGATCCGTCCCTGAATGATGAATGTTCATATTGCTGCATGATCCATCATTTTAGTCCAAGTGCTGATTTTTTTTCCAAATCTGAATTTTGCATTTTCTGCATTGCAACTTTACTCCTTTCCAAAATATGAAAACTGTGAGACATTTTTTGGGTAAAGCATTTTGAAAAGCGCACTCCTTTTAAAAACATTTGAAATTGTCTACGTTTTTCCTAGACAACCGAGGGCGCTGTTGCTGTGACGTCATTCAGAAAAGACACTGCTTGTTTTTACAGAGGGTATGGGGGGGGGGCTCAAATTGCGAACCAAAATTTTGCTCACTGAAAATGTTGCTCACGAAAACGTTTCCAAGCAAGGGGTGGTAGTTAATTGACGGCTGACTTAAACGACAATGAATCGGCAAAGACAATGGAATGTCACGTCTGCAATATACATAAAATTCCAGTAGTTTTCTGCACAATACACAAAGATTAATTTTCAAGGCTGCTACATTGCATCCTTCCTCCATAGCTCCATGATTGCAAAGACCCGTGAAATGTCCTCCGTGATTCAATCCGAGAAGGCTCTCGAAGTCCCAGTGAGTACAGTCCCGCCACCGCATAAACGATATTTATGTACGGTAGTTGTTTGCTGAGTCTGCTGCCGTGGGGTCACAAGGGGTCAAGTCAACGCTTTGACGGGCTGTTACTACTATTAGGCTGTCACAGTCTGACATCGACAGCGTGCGTGGGCATACAATCATTGCCATTGGATACGTGTACATTGGCAACAGATAAAATCCAATCCTGCCTCGGTCAGGCTCAGACTCATTTCCAGCCGCAAGCCATGCCTCGACGGTTGTGAAATTAACAGGTGTGGTAGCTATGGCGTTCGCCAGAGGTGGTCCACGGCATCCACGGAATCGAACTTGAGATGAGTCTAAGAAAAGTTCCTCCGGTCGACTTTGTGCCACAACGGACAATAAGGATATCTATGCAGACATTTAGTTGTCTGTTGGCGCCCTCTGTCCCTTTCATTGAGACCGAGTAGGCCTAGGCTGCACTGAGGTTTTTGCCCAGGTTCCGTGAAAACGAGCATGCTCTGCGCGATGTGTGGGCTAAGCCGTGCTGTGTTGGAATTCAGCTGCTGCAGGGAATCGCCAGTACCAACACAAACAAACATCTGTAATAAGGTTTTGGACTGGTAAAACATGACAGTAATGTGCTCTTTGACTGCTCTCTCACGTCCAGCTAATAATTGTTTTGGTTGAAAACCAAAGTAACCCCCAGGGGTTGGACGAAGGCCGTCTCACTATTGTTAACGTTGTCTCTCGTAACGGTTGTTGCCCTCACTAGACCTTGTTTTTCACATCAGGTATTTAGCTGCTGTCGCACGACAGGTTATTTTCACGCTTAACTTTGCACGCCCCGCTATCTCATTCCTATTTTATTGATATTTGACCGGGAACTTGGAATATCAGTCTAAACATTAATGGTAGTCATAGAAACATTATGCCATTTACCATTTGAAACAAGTTCAGCATAATACATCCTCTGCAAAATATACGTTTTAAATTTTTCATATTGAGGTACTTTTGTATGATTGTATACACGTGTATTTTCGTTGACACATTGGCGTCGTTGAGAGACATTCATGGGTTTAAAATGTGTAGCATATTCAAATTTGGACGGTGCAGTGATGTCACAAAATGTGTGGCTGATGTCTGCTCTAGTTCCATTTCTGTACTAGGTACCAGCCTATCCGGTTCGTAATTAAGTGTGACGTCACTTCAGTTTAAATCACGCCCTTTGCACATGCACTGCACACAGAATTACATGCAATGATCGCCGTTCACAAGGAACCATGGAACCGGAAGTTAACGCTCAGCGATCGTCCCAGGTTCCCAGATCCCAGATCGTTTACAGGCTCGTTTACGAATCGGATAATGACAGCATATTCTCATTTTTAATTCACCAGTAAAGAAACATGAAGAACAATGCGCCCGGATTTTTTTTTGGGGGGTGGCGAAATACACTTCTCTTCGCTATGAAATTTGAAGCCAATAGTTTGAGAAGCGCTGATACCATCAGACGCTTTTGTAGGAATGGGGTAATCGTTTTGGATCAGATAAAATATAATCTATCAAAGTTCGGTTTTTGTGGGCCACTGTGTGGTGAGCTCCCACTTTGAGATAAGCGTTGTTTGCGTTGTCCGGGAGCGCGCGCGCTGAAGTTACTGTATAGCATTCCTAACGCGATTGAGTGTCGTGCTCGATGATATCATTATATTTTTAATGACTGTAATTCAAGGATGGTGTGAATCTGAACGACACTTTTGGGGGAGGACTGCGGAGTCTCGTTTTGGGTAAAGATGCATGCATATCCATTCATGTATTTTCCCCACAAATTTTGTCGAACAAAGATCTGAGTCGGAAGCATTCAGAATGCCTGCGATTGTCAAAGGTTCACATCTGGTTCTGTGGCGGGTTTCAAGGAGTGTAATTTCAATTTGGGAAAGTAATGTCGAGTTGTCGAAAAGCACGTGAGTTGATTTAATCCATCCATGAACCCATGGGTCGTTGTACCTTGCCATCATTTCGGGATTTTGCCTTGCTGTAAAAATCGATTGTCGATTTCCTTTTGAAGATTCCTTCAGGCTGGATTCTCTCGGTTAATGCGACCAGAGAGAAAAAGTATGACGTAAAAAAATAATGGCGGGAGGCAGTTTCGTGAACACGATCACATTAACTTTTTTGTATCGACTGCTTTTCATAATTAACATTTTAATAGAAAAGAAAACTATACGTTGGCGCTTCAGAGTCACATGATTCAGAAGGGGAATCATTTCTAAAGACTAAGCTAACCTTTGCAGAGAAAATGGTTTTGGTCAAAAATATCACTGGTTTGTGAGGAAAATCCTGATCTAGAGTGTCGGTCAGTAAAACAACACGAAAAAAGAAGAAATCTTGGAGCTTAAGGGAGCTGAAATGATATGATTTTACCCAAACACATCCCACTTTAACAATTCAATTTTTAGCCCACTGCTCAGAAATTTTAGCTTGTCGAAAACACCCGTATTTTAGACCTGAAAGTGACGTCAATCAAGACCTAAAATATATATTTATAATCAAAGGCCAATCAAGCTAATATTACCCAATGTATCGATTCGCGACTGCCACGAATGTTTGGCGTGTTTGCGAATAAACTCCGCGGTGTTTGCACGCGCGATCGACCCATCTCAGCGGGGGCAATGTGGATAGAATCACCCATTAGCTGGCGGTGTTTGCTCCGCTCGACAGAGTTCGAAGCTTTGTTGGTCTTGGGAAAATATTAATTAAAAAGAGTGCTATTGGTGCATCGTTCGTTTTTTCCGAGTCTGGTTCTTCCTCAAAACTACTCTCTTTTCATTCCTGCAACATTTTAGCAGTTGAAAAAGCAAGCATTTTGTGTCACAGAATAAAAGACTAACGATTAAAACGAGTGAACCAGCAGGGGAAAACTGTCAAGTATTCTCCATTCGAAAGCTCTGAAATACTCGCTCAGCTAGGCAGTCAAGTTGAACCTGTATTACACTGTAATTAGACAATTATGGACCAATTAAAGATAAGCATTCAGTCAACCGGTCATTGAACAATAGAAAATGACCAATCAACTGAGAGACACACCGGATTGACCGACCGACAGTCCGATCACTCAGTTTATAGCCATCGGTGCGCAGTAGCCAATTATAAAAATCTGCCCTTTCATCGTCACGAATACAGACAACCAGGGGCACCCTCTCTCTCCGGCCAGAGCGCCCCCTACTAGGACCCATTTTATCCATTTTACTGCTTTGGAGAGATCCCCCTTCAAATCTCAGTCGCGTGTAATCACACATTTACTAAAAGCGTGATTACGGACATATCCAGACCAAAACATCAGCAAGGTTTCAGGCCATGCAAAGGCATTATGATCGCCATTGTGTTACCTTTCCACCGAACTTGAACTAGCACCGTTCCCGTGGAGGGTCAATGAAAGACTCAAATGTCGCCTGCAACCCAGTGCGGAAGATAATATTATCGCTTCCCAGAAACAGTACGTCCAATTTTTACCGTCTTGCAACAAACTTTTATACTGGTTTGGGACGAAAAACAAAATTCGGGGCTGTGATAACAGAAAATGTTAGGGACGTACTCTGGCCTTGCCTTTCTAAGGATAAAATTTCAAATAAAAAACGACACACAAACGCAAAGTCGAATGAAAACACTGTAACTTGAGTGGAAACATTAATGTATAGAACATTCTTTGGAACTATCATTAAGCATCTTGTTCGGGATCGTTTGCTTATCTACCTCATCCCAAATGATCTTGCATTGTCTTTAATCAAATCAATCGTTCTATTATCTGGAAACAAATAAGCTTTAAGTACAAGAATAACTCACCATTTACCGCTGCTAACGATAGCCTGGAATGACGGTTCAGCTTTCTGAATCCTGCGCCATGTCTCCCTCTGACAGAGGAATTATACACTCCGTGCGATCACTTCGGCTGACCAGCAACTAGTGAGCCGGCTCGACGGGTTTCAGACGCGTTGTTCCCGGCTGCTAGGCGACGGGCGTCCACGGTGCTGGGGCCGGGCTGAATCGATGGCCGTCCCCTGCGGGTATTAGCCAGGATCAGACAAGGCATGAAATGGTTAATTAATAACTTGCGGCGGCTTGCACAGCGATTGCACACGCAAAAAGAAAGCACAGCGCTAGAGTGGTGTCATAACAGAAGAAAAAAAATCATTAAATGATTGAAGCCGTGAGTTTTCAATGAAGAGCCATTGAAATCAATCTAGAACAGCTCGAACGTTGCCACTCAATTAAAACTGGACCCACGTAATATTCTCGATGAAATTCCCATATCCAATTAAATAGTTATTTTTCAAAATGAGAAGATTTATACTGTTTAATACCACACCCAACAATCATTGTTCAATTATTTTTACGACCAGAAAAGCATAGCATCCTTGCTACGGAAATATTTAGAATTTGCAGAATATAAACAGCGCGATATATAGGCCTAGTTCTCGCGCCGGATGAATGTCTTTTATAATGTACAATTCAGTCGGCTTTTTAGATTTCGCCTCTGTTTACTTTCTTCAAAACGATGGTGAGACTTGGTTTCAGACTTCAGTAGCGCAAGGCAGAAAATTTTTTCCTTTATTCAGGGGTCAAGTCGTAAGAGTATCGAATGAAATCCACTGAGAAGGAAGTCATGCTTTGAGATTTCTACTTAGCAAAGAGCTGGAAATACTAAAGACCTTAGGACTTTCTTTGCGTCTAGGAGACCGGCAGAAGACAGAGAGAAACTGTTCAACCTCCGTCGTAAATGGCACCCTGTCTATAGTTTAAGGTTGGTCACCCTTTTCTGAAGCCCGAGGCAAGAAAATTCGATTCATGCCGTGTCAACGTTTAGACCCAAACTGCATCGTCGATACGTTTTACACGAACAAAGGACTTCGCTTACAGTCTCTCCAAATCGCCCGTGGAAAATGAGGCAGCAATCTTCGTGAAGTGGGTCGAGGCTAAACCATCCATTTTACACGTCTGGCAGAAGCCCACGGTCGACAAAGAAAGTGAGAATCGATGCTCGAACACACTCTCGGTGCATTGTGCTGTCTAGAATGGCTTTAAAGTCTGCTGGTATCGAGGTACAAGTTTCGATAAATGCAGACAACCGCGGCAAAGAAAACAGTACAAGATGCGCTATTGATTTTGGTCGAGCTATGCCCAGCCTTTGAAAGATTTGGAATGTGGAAATTGATCTCGCCAAGGTTTTCCTGAGCAAGACAGATTTTGCCTTTGGATTTGAGGAAACGCAGTTCTAAGTTTTCAAATATAAGGTGTGATGTTGGCTGTGTTCGCCTGTCCCGTATGTCCTCGTGCGTACACAGAACAGTCCCCGGAACTGAAGAAATATGTGACCCACTCTGTGAAAAAGAGTCTTACGTCACCAGAGCCACTTTTTGAGTTTTCATTTGTATTGGAAAGAGCAAAGTGAGTTTCTCGTTTTGATGTATCACTCAGTTTGGCATCCTGATGAAAGTGGACACTCCATGGTGAAAAATGATGTGGTTTCCTATTGATTTACACTGTGCACAATTATTCTAAAGGACTTTTGACTCCAAAGTGGCTCCGGTGACTTAAGACTCAATTTCACAGAGTGAGTCACATATGTCATTTTCTAACCTGTATCGCTTGGGGGTTGGTAAATCCACCATAACCCTTACGATCATGCTCAGGAAACCAGCTGACGAAAAAAAT